TACATATATATATAAATACATACATACATATATATATAAATACATACACATATATATATATATAGTCAATTTGCACTTATGACTTATTGTTTGCATAACACATGAGTATGATATTCTTAGTGTATCATTTTTGCAGTTTATTGGTCAAAAATTACTTTTACAATTTTAAAAATTGATGACATAGAGGTCTAAAAACACATAGGATACAGTTACAGACTTACAGGGTTCATTTGCATAGCAGTGGATTTAAAGCAGTAATAGTTCCACCTGAAATGTGGAAGAGGAGTCACAATAAATTGGAATATTTTAGTAAAGTAAGTTAACTAGTCCTCAAGTACTGTTTTCCTTTCCGTCAAAGTTCAACAGCTGCAGGATCCTGAGTGACGTTTCTTTGATGTCACTGCAGTTGCCTTCACTCGTCCGTTATTAGTCTGCCTTGCTCTGATCTGTCCTGCAAATGTTTTATTCCTTCCAGCTCACTCTCACCTGTGCCTTTCCTCTTCTGTCCTCATGTTTGTCCTCCGTGTGACGCTCCAATCTGTGTTTTCTTCCCTTTTCTTTCCTCCTCACCTCTATCGGGGAATCCCCTCTGTTATATATCTGTGTTTTCCCCACTACCCCGCCCCAGTGTGGGTTCTTCAAACGCAGTGAGCGACGCCATCATTATGAGACGGAGTACTACCGTGCCCATTTGGGGGTCCAACCCTCGGAGGCGGAGAAGCAGGCGACAGAACAATAATATAAAGTATACCCCCCTCTGGCCTGCTCTCCCCTCCTCCTCTCACTCCAAGCGGTAAAAATCTTCACCTGCAGTCGCCTTTGTTCCTCAATTCACTCGAAGGCCGGTGGTGTTCATTACAGCATGACAGCAAATATAGGCTCAGATGATCTCAGGTGGCATCATAGCAGTGACACGTGAGATACAAGAGAACTGATCTCTTGTAAAGCCTTCTTTACCTTTGTTCCTGTTTATATTAGTAGAAAGAAAAACATTATAATGACAAAAAAAGACAGATTCACCAGATTCTTAGCATTTTCCTACTTTATTCTTCAATATAGACAAAAGGTGGCTTCTAGTTTCTGCCATCACTCATTTTTACGGGACAATGTTTGCAGGCAAATTGAGAATTAAAATAAGAGGCTATTAGCTCCATAAGGGGGTATAAAATTATTTCTCTAGGTTATATTTTATGTGTCTGTTCATTTTTAAATTAAACCTTTATTAAATAAGTAAAACATTTATACTAAGCAACCACTTTCTTTGGTACACCTCGCTAGTTGCGCTCACTTTCGCCTTCAGAGTTGCCTTATTTTTTCATGGCACAGATTCAAAAAGGTCCTGGAAACGTTCCACAGAGAATTTGGTCCATTTTTACGTGATAGCATCACATAATTTGCAAATTTTTCAGCTATACACACATGATGCTAATTTCCCATTTCATTACATCCCAAAGAGATCTGGTGATTGTTGCTTGTTGAGGCAACTCATTGTTAGGTTCAAGAAACCAGTTGCAGAATATTTGAGTTACATGGAACATTATCCTGCTGGAAGCAGCCGTCAGATTATGGCTACACTTGGTCATCTGTCTTGGTCAGCTGACTCCAGCATCTGAATGTTGCAGCAGAAATTGAGACTCATCAGTTTTTCCAATCTTCTGTTGCCCAGTTTTGAAGAGCCCATGTGAAATGCAGTCTCAGTTTCCTGTTCCTAGCTGACAGCAGCAGCCAATGTGGCCTTTTGCTGCTTGAGTTCAACTACTTCAAGGTTCAGTGCGTTGTGCATTCAGAGATGCTATCCTGAATACCTTGCATGAAACAAGGGGTTATTTGAATTTTGCCTTGCATCAGCTCAAAGGATGCTGGCCAATTCTCCTCTGCCAACAAGGCAGGACACTGGATACTGTCTCTGTAAACCCTGGAGACAGTTGTGTAGAAAGATACCAGCAAATCATCAGTTTATGAAAGACATAGATGTCAGCAGGTCATCTAGGCCATTTCTGTCAGCCTAAATATACGGAGATGTTGCCATGTGACCGACTGATAAGACTTTTCAACTGACAAGCATCTGTACTGGTGTACCCAATAAAGTGGCCAGTTAGCGGATATGAACTGTGTTGCCTACATTCACGATTTGATCCCAAATTTTAAAAAAGCTATTTTCATTGTATTTAATTCCCCTAAAATGTCTGAAATCATCATACTTTATTATAGAAACACATATCTGCTATCTCTACATAGGTGGCTAGCAGCACATATAGCCTAATGCTAGGTATTAGCCTAAATATTAATGTCTCCCATGAGCAGCTACTTTGCGAGTCTCAGTTGTTGGTTCACTGAAACTGTTTTCGGTGTTTTGTTCTGTAAAATGATTTAAAACCTTTGTTTTCTAGTCACCTAATCTGTGCCTGTTGAACACCATCCAGCCATCTCTCCTTCAAGGCTTTAACATGCCTGCTGTGCTGTGTTTTGTGCCTCTTACTTTTCAGTTATCTGCACTTGTTCATTCTGGCATCATTCTCAGAAGACTGTTCATTTCTACGCGGTCCCCTCTTCCTAAAAATCTATTAACGATTTGACATGCATTCAATAACTGATCGACTTTTCCAGGTGCCAGACTGAACTTGTCGTTAGGATCAGTGGATGTCTTTGTTCCTTTTAATGAGTGTAAATCTGCTTAGCGGTACTTCAGTGTGTTGGTGTGTTAATCGCAGACACTTCAGGCTGGTGCAAGTTTATAAATGTTGAGCATGATAGTGTGCTTTTTGGTTGGTGTGCTGTTTTAAATGTATTTTTTTTTATTAAAAAGTCACTTTGTTTGCAGCTGGTAATCAGGTAATCACTTTGCCTTCTTATCTGTGAGATGCACTATAAAGCTTTACCTAAACGCAACGAATAACAGTGGATACTTTTCTTAGAAGGCATGCTATTGAGTAACACAGCACCTCCTCAAACACAGTTTAACAGCTGTAGTTATCACAGTCCCTTAAAAGTGGCACTGGTTAATTTTTTTCCTTCCCTTCTGCCTCCTCCATCCGTCTTTCCCTTCTCCTGTGTGCACTCCGACCCACTTTCCTCCCTGGGTCAACAGTGTGGCTTCTTCCGACGGGCGCACTACAAGGACAAACTGCCTCAGTACCACGCGGTGAAGATTCCTCGCGAGGACCGGCCTCAGTTTCAGACTGAGAAGTCAGGAGGCGTCCAAAAAAAGGAATGGGCCACACACTGGAGCGACGGGACCTCGTAACCTGCTTTGATGCCCTGACTTTAAAAAAAAGAAAAAAAATCACCATGTGCAGCACTCATTATGTCTTTGCTGTTGAATTAACTGACTAAAAAAGTGCACAGAGACTGGGATCACGAAATGTTGTGCACACCTCACTTCATCATTGCTTACATACTGATGCGTTTTCTCAATACTGTAGCCTACTGAAGGCCTTACATAGCTTATTTAGTCTAAATCAATATCATAGTATTGTACTGGAGGCCTACGACAACATTAAAACCAGTCGAGCTGCTGAGTACGTTCCCCAGCCCTCACTGCTGCTTCACTGTCTGACATCAGAAAGGACTGGAAATCAAAGACATGCATAAGCACCACATGCAGATCCTGACAGACACACACAGATATACTGGACATTATAGTAAAGAAGCCAGTGCCCATGACAAAGACTACTTTTTGCCTTAACTACTGTAAGACTGAAGATTCATATGGGCAATGAAAAGAAAATGCATTTTTCTATATATAAATGACTTTTTTTTAGTACTGGTTAAAGCACTGGGTGGGTGGATGTTCATGTTTCGATGAATGTGTTGTCTTCTGGGCTCGACGATTACTCTGGGTCGGCTCAAGAAGCCATTTAAAAAGTTCATTGATAGCTTTTGTAGGGCTTTGTTCAATTGCCTGAGTAACTTGAATAAGAACAAGAAACCACAATACAACCTATAACATGCCGTAGCCACGACCAGAGCACTGTTGTCGCATGTGTCAGATTTTTAAAAAAGCAATATTTAAGGTATCGTGTGCTCTTCATCTGTTTATGAAAATTTCTGGTAGATTTTTTATGGATGTATTATGATGACATAACAGTGTAAAAAAAATCTAATATGTATGAAAACTTACTGTAGCCTCAATTTAAAACCTAAACTGCTACAAATGAGTGAATTAGTTACAATGTGACGTCTGAGTGATGCCGCCATATTTTTCTCATGAGTTGTAATGTAAAGCCGTTTCACCAGGTAACATCTGTGTTTTTTGTTGGACTGCATTAACCTGCTTGTCACACTGTTCTTGTTAATGTGCGCCACTCGTACCAGTATGACAGTCCTTTCACTTCGTTACTGACACTTCTAATTGCGTACAAGTGCCTTATTGTAAAGGTGGCAGATGGTGTGCCACTGGTTACAAACGCAAGGCTACTGCAAATTAGATCATACTCCCCTGAAACATCTGTTGGACACCGGTGGACAAGTAAACATCCCTCCTGCACTGAAGCAACATGAAGACAGGGAAAAACCTTTGTTGTTATTTTTTACATGAACAAAGCAGCGTGAACATAATGTGTATCAGAACCAGACAAACTCTCTTTGGATCTAATCTGGGTTGATGAAGTGGATGTAAAGCATGAAGGGTCAGCTTGATTTTTTTAGGTATTGCTGGACAATCTTATACTAGCTGCATGTCCTTTTTCTGATGTTCCCAAATTTTCTGTTGGTCATTGTTCGGTGTTTTATTTATTGATTTCGTTGGATTGGCTGCACTGTTTAAAGGTTGTAAATAAAAAAAATTTAAAAAATGAGGTAAACCTGACAGACCGCTTAATTTGATCATTATGCAGAGATTTTAAACCCAGTGATGTACAGACAAAAACCAGGGATGTGTAAAAGCTGCAATTCACTTATATAACACCAGGTGGCGGTAACACTCTGAGAAATAAAACATTATTTCTGTAGTTATTTTAAATGGGAGGGAAAAACGAAAACATAAGGCATGTAAATTTTGTAAAAGCTATAATATGACTACTTAGATCTGAATAGATCTGAATTATTTTGTTTTTCATGGAAATGTTGCCCATAATGTTCTTGAGTATTTGTGCTTGTTAACATGAGGACAGGACAGTAATTAAGGGGTGCAGATGAGATGGGTTTGTCTTTAATGTTTGATTGTAACTCTTCTCGAAGAAGAAATAAAGGCATCTTGTTTTGTTTATGTGACATAAATATTCACGGTCTGTGGTCGGCGTGCACACTGGCTGATAAATTAAAAAAGTCAAAAACAGAACATTAAATCTTACGATCATTTTCAAGTTTATTTTTAACTCTGGCCCATTAGTGATATGAGTTTTTTAAATAGTTTTTTTTTCTAGGTATTACATTTATAGAAAATAAATTATGGAAAACATGATATCCTATTTAGAGTATTTCTCCAGCATCTAACCTGACTCTGCATTATGACAGCTGGGATTGGTGTAAGAAATAAAATTAGTAAATTGCATTACTAATAAAAATAGCCAGTTTTATTGTGCAACACAATCAATTTAGACAAATGTATTAATTCTGTGATCTAAATTAAATACAGAGCTTGAAGCAGGACAGTAGCCTAGCTTAACAGCATTAAGAGTGAAAACAGAGTTTTAAAAAAAATGTAAATATACTTAAAAAACTACCTTTCTTATTATCATGCTATGTTGTGATTATTAGAGCAACAAAAACCCAGAGTAATAAGCTCTGAACAAGCTTAAAGAAGCCTAATTACTAGCTTGAAGAAGAAGCTTGATTACTTATATTTATGCTAAGCTAAACAGCATGCTCTGCACCTCTGCAGCTTTTAGATACACTGAAAAAAAATCGACACACTGCTGGGGAACAGATCTCAGACCTATACTGCCCTTCTCATGTTTTACACTGAACACCCCCCAAAATGTCCAAAACACTGATGGAAAACCAGTGAAAGGCATAAAAGACATTTCTCTGGCCCTGTGAAAGCTGGGATAGACGTAATGGATGGATGATCGAATGGTTGAGCAATGGGATCACATAAAACTAAACAAGGGTTTATTTCTGTCCTCTTATTAGAAACAGCATAAACTCACTTTTGTGAGTCAGAGTGAGTAACTTTGATTTTCCTGTAATCCAAAAGCTTCTGATCTCATTAATGAAAACTAATACTCTCAGAATCCCTTAGATGTCATCCTGGTTGCCATGGTAGTTAAAAGAGGCTGTATGTGCGTGCGTGCTTAAGCGGATTGTCACCCATTAAGCACTTTGATGAGCCAAATCTGTTGATGTGGAAGTGACTAATTATTATACACACACACACACACACACACACACACAGAGGCAACACTAAACTGAACAAGTACCCCTAATAAAGCAAGTGTCACTGTCACTAATAAAAAAAAGCTGATGTTACTTGGAAAGATAATGGAAGGAAGCGAGCTGACGTTTAACAGATGAATTGTTTCATTTTTAGGCATCGTTTGCTTCTTCCTAAAACCCCTTGATCTGCTTGTTAAAGAAAACTCTGTGTAAGCAAAGGGTTTGATGAGCCAGAGTCTTATTATTGACCCAAGGTTTACTTTACATTCATGTCAATAAAGCTTTGGAGAAAGCAAATAATCTACAGTGCATGAAAAGGAGATCCATTATATGGTCATCACAGGTCCACAGCTCTAGCTGTGAGCACAGAAGCTCCGCCCACCTGCTGTTCAAACCTTCTGTTTGTCAGGGGCAGCCAATCAGAAGAAAGTAGGATTAAAGTTCGGGTAGTTACAAAGAAAGCTTGTTTCATACAGAAGATGATTTGAGAGGCTACATCAAGGCCCAGAGCGCATTCGTTTTATTTATTTATATTTTTTGGTAATTGTTGCAGTTCTTCTGAATACAGTGTGTGCTTTGAATTTCTTCCTGTATAACTGAAGTCACATGACTAATCTGTTATATATTGTATATGCTCTGTGCATTACCTTGGGATGGGTGGGACGGGGTCCATTTGCACGGATTTATTTGTTTAATAACTGGAAGTTGTGCTGCACGACCCTGGGGGCCACATAATAACACACTCTGGTGCTAAGTCATCACTAATGCCTGATCCGAGCTAAATGGACCTAGTTAAGGCTCTTCCTCCATCCTGTCCCCTGTTCCCCCTTGTACAGTAGCGTCTTTCGTCAGCTCTCCTGAGACGTCCTGCCAGCGACCACGAGGTGTATATAAGACCCGCTGAGGATGTGACCAGCACTGAAGTTCGTTCTTAGCAAGTCTGCTTAGACAGCCATCTTCTTCTCTTTCCTCTTCTATATTTGTCATCAGTGTTTGTCTGACCTCCTCTCGAGTCTGAGAACATGGACACAGCTGCAGCGGTGACTCTACTGGCACTGATTATGGCGATGGCTGGCGTCAGTCACGCTCTTCACATCCAAGCCGGCCTGGACAAAAACGACATCTTGCCTGGCAGCTCAGAGGAGAACATGCCTGACCGCCTGTTGGGGATGGTGAGACAATCAAACCACTGAAAAACTTGTTAATATTCATTTCACTTACATGTTGACAGTCTATTTTATGTCAGGTCCAAGATCATTTGAAGCTTTAAAACTGAAATCCTATCGCTGAAACACACATGTGGTGATTTTTTAAAATATGCATCTTTGTGCCTGATTAAAATATGGACCGCCTGCTCTGGTACATGCCAACATTTTCTGAGAGGATTGTATGTAAATGCGACTTGAGCCTTTTATCAAATGAGACAGGATAAATCACACAGCCCATTTAGATTTCAGATGGTGTTCCTCTTCATGCAACAGTGTGAAATACACTGTTAGATATTCTGGTGTGAGCAGACAGTCGGGGGCAGGATAGCGAATCAGATAAAGGACA